GTTAGGGCAGGGTAGGGGTTAAGGTTGTCATAGTTAGCGTTAGCAGGGTAGGGGTTAAGGTTGTCATAGTTAGCGTTAGCATTTTTCCTATTGAAATGAACGGTCCCCATAAGGATATGTTTACCCTACATGTGTGTGTGTGTGTGTGTGTGTGTGTGTGTGTGTGTGTGTGTGTGTGTGTTTGCACATACATTTCAGTGGAGCTTCTGGTGGCCTAATGATGTGGCCTTTTTCCGCTTGTGCAGGAGTTCTCCCACAAACTGATGGAGGAGGCAGAAAAGGGTTCATTCCCAGTGGATGTGGTTAAGCACATCTTCTCCAACATCTCCTCCATCCATCTCTTCCACAGCCAGTTCTTGCTTCCAGCCCTGGAGAAGCGCATGAGCGAGTGGTGAGATGAAGTGACCGATCACATTCTAGAAGTTTCCTTGACCACGGCCCTTGTGAACATCCATGTCCCTCCCCCAGGTCCACCACACCTCGGATCGGGGACATCCTCCAGAAGCTGACCCCGTTCCTGAAGATGTACACGGAGTATGTGAAGAACTTCGACAAAGCCATGGAGCTTATCAAGATGTGGACGGAGAAGTCGTCCCCATTCAAGGCTATCATCCAGGAGATCCAGGTACTGATGTCAAACCTCTGTGCTGCCTGCAGGGGGCACTACACACCCCTATCAGATATGATACCTGCCGGCATTCTTCTCATCTATGACGCTGGCCAAATTAATAATGTTTTATCTTAATGTGTTTTAGACACAGATTTTTAATTCATATAATTTATTTGTAAACTTAAGCAGTTAATAGAGATATATTGTAAGTTTATTTGGCATATCATAAGTGAATTATGTGGCTGCTTAGGGTCCAGCGACCACCAGGGGGCGCCTCCATCTGATCAGCCTGTCAAAACGGGAAGAAACATTACAAATGACAATTAGGCTAATTAAATTTTGCTTTGGGCCCCAAAAAGGGTTGGGTGGCCCCACATGTCAAACTGGGGTCTTGTCATTAATTAGTCCTCTGGGGCGTAGTTTGGTGTGGCCCGATCCGGCCCTGACTGGTGGGAGCCACAGTGTAGCCGTGCACTAATGGTGCTACCAGCCCGGCGTGACCCTGTGCTGTTTTCAGAGCCAGGAGGTGTGTGGCAACCTCACCCTGCAGCACCACATGCTGGAGCCTGTGCAGAGGGTCCCAAGGTATGAGCTTCTGCTCAAGGACTACCTGAAGAAGCTCCCACCGGACGCATCCGACCGCTGCGACGCTGAGAGTGAGTCAGCCGGCCAGCAGGGGGCGCAACTCACCCGCACATCACCTCCAGCCTCAACACCATCAGTGGCACTCCAAACAATCACACGCTCATGCTCTGCGAAGCCTCCTATCCAACCTTTATAATATCTCATAAACGCTACATAAACACTGTCTAGCAGTGCAGGGCTCACATATGCCCACTGCACCTTAGGGTATGATTATACTTGACACTTGCAATGCGCATGCTAGCGCGCTATTGCTGCATTTTCTTGCACGCATAGTTAATGTCAATCTGGAGGATTAAAATTTGCGTCCACCAGGGGGCAGTGTCTGTCTATTCGACTTTGAACTGCTTCAGCTGTGACAAAACATTCGTCTGTGACAATTCAGCTTCATCTGTCATCTTGGCATTCCTGCAGTTTGACTGTCGTACTGCATGTTGACCAAATATGTCAACATGTCATCAAGATGTGTCGTCCTTGTCGTTTGACTGCGTCGTTATGCTTGTTGTGCAAAGACTGCAGAAGTACAGCTTAAAGTTGAATTGACAGACATGTTTTGTCAGGCGAACAATCAACATATACAATCTCGTTGTCAGACTAGTTTTGTCACAGCTGAAGTTTGGTTCACGGTTGAACAGACACAGCTGTGTTCTGTTACATGGGCAGTCGACATGGACAGTGCACATTGTTGACATATTTTTGGCACAAATGGAGCCCCGTACTGAACACACCCATCATACGAGCGACGGATGATCTCACCAGGCTTTCTCCTGTCCCTTAGAGTCTTTAGAGATCATCGCCACGGCAGCCACGCACTCCAACACGGCCATCCGCAAATCCGTGAGTACCTCCAGCATGGACTTGGGCCTCAGCGAACGCTCCTTGGGGAGTTTCCTGTCTCCATGTTTCATCCTGTGTGGAGTTTCCTGTCTGCATGTTTTTTTTTTAATAAGATTCTGATAGGACAGTAAGTTAAATAAGGGTTAATGCATGACCAGCCATGCATTTTTTAAGAACCTCCTTACACCACAGTTACTACACGTCAGGCATGTACATTTGTACCTGAAGACATTATTTTCACGGGTGTGTTGGGCGGTAAGAGGGAGGAAAAACGTGGACTGTCTGGCAGCGAGCTGGGAGGGAGCAAAAAGGTGGACTGTCTGACAGGAAGCTGGGAGGGAGCAAAAACGTGGACTGTCTGGCAGGGAGCTGGGAGGGAGCAAAAAC